AGAATAGTATACATAGTTTATTATTTTATAAGTGATCACTTTCAATATAAATGATATAAAAGCCGAGTAAATATCTAATGTTTCTTACATGCACTATTTTGGTGAATTCTCATATCTAGAAATTTCATATTTTTTCCCCATACATTTTCGACTCTGATACAATTTTTCATACAACTAATAATTATACAAAACCTCATTTAAAATACAGTTTGTATTAAATTTATTAACTTATACAATTTTAATTAATTTTCATACAAGTACTAATTTTATTAACTCACATAAGTTCCAGAATTTCATATAATAGTCTTATTAACTCATACAAGTAATAATTTTTCATACAAGTATTATATAAATAATTGTTTATTAATTCACATAAGTTCTAAATTTTCATCGATATTCTCAATGTGCAAAAAAAGTCAAGTAAATATCTAATGTTTCTTGCGTGCATTATTTTGATGAAATTTTATATTTATCAATTTCATATATTTTTTTTCATATAACTATATTTTCGGTTCTGCTAAAATTTTTCATACAACTAATAGCCTTTTTAACTCATAGAGGTTGTGAGTTTTCATATTAGTATAAAATTTATTACCTCATACAAGTTATAATTTTTCATACAAGTATTAGATTTAGGAACTCATATGAGTTCATTCGTTTTCATACAAGTAATTATCTTATTAACTCATGCAAACTATAATTTTTCATACAAGAAATGACTTTATTAATTCATAAAAACTATATATTTTAATATAAGTATTAAATTGATGAACTCATATAATTTCATCAGTTTTCATACAAGTAATATCTATATTAACTCATGAAAGTTATAATATTTGATGTATGTAATTGCTTTATTAATTCATGTAAGTTAGTTTCATTAGTTTTCATATGCCTAATTGTATCTTAATTAAGTTTCAAATTTTCATAGATTTTGCCAATGTACAAAAAAAAGTCGAGTAAATATGTAATGTTTCTTGCATGCATTATTTTGATGAAATTTCATATTTTTCCCATACATTTTCGACTCTGTTACAATTTTTTCATATAAGCAATAACCTTTTTAACTCATAGAAGTTATGAGTTTTCAATAATTTTTCATATAAGTAATAACTTCATTAGCTCATAGAAATTATAGATTTTCATATAAGTATTAAATTGATGAACCCATATAATTTCATTAATTTTCATATATGTTCATCAGTTTTCATATAAGTAATTGCCTTATTAACTAATACAAGTTATAATTTTTCATATAAGTAATAACTTTATTAAGTCATAGAAATTATAGATTTCCATACAAGTATTGAATTGATGAACTCATATAATTCCGTTAATTTCCATATAAGTTCATCAGTTTTCATATAAGTAACTAGCAATTTAGAGATTTGAATTTGAATACCTTTTTATTTACCTTAATGCTAAGGGATAAACAATATTTTTAGTTTTTTCATTCGGTGTGTAAATATATAAATTTTGTGGTGTCCCAACTCGTGAACAGGCGACGTATAATTGGCCATGTGAAAAGCACGAATTTTTCTAATCCAAACCCGCAATAGTTAATGATTGCCCTTGTGCTTTATTTATAGTTATAGCAAAGGCAAGACGCAAAGGGAATTGAAGCCGCTTGAATTCGAACGGTAAATCGTTGGAAATCGTCGGTATACGTGGAATCAGCACATCTTCGCCTTTGAATTTACCGCTGATGATTGTTGCCTCGATCAAATTCGGTGTTAATTTTTTTTATTATCACTCTGGTTCCGTTGCACAGTTTCGGCGCGTTCAAGTTCCGAATAAGCATCACTGGTGATCCAACTTTTAACGCCAACGAATGGGGAGGCATTCCAGGTGGCTCCAAAGAATTAAGAAATTCAGTTGGGTAATTAACAGCTTGATCTTTGTCCATTACTGTATCAATCGATTTAAATTCGACTGCTTCTCCTGGAATTTTTAATTGAATTTGACCGTTTAATTTACTAACATCATCGTTCTTCGGAGCTAAAATTGCACGTTCGCGGAGCCATTCCGGATTTCGGTAGTTGATCGTTATGTTCGGAAATACTCTGTCGATGACGTCTTGAATGCTCTGCTGCATTTGACAAAAGTTGGACGGAAATGATATCTTATTTGTTGTGCGATCAATATGAACTTTACCGTTTCCAATATCTAAAAGTTGCTTTGAAAATATTTGGGTAGACGTATCTTGCAGCAAATGCACTCACATATTTGTTGTGAGCGTAATTTTTTCGACATAGTTCCACAGATGCGATGCCTTTAAGCACGCGTTCAGCTCGTCTGCAGGCGTTGATCGTGGTATAACGGGTAATGTTTGACGAAAATCACCTGCAAGAAGTATAAGAGCGCCTCCCATCGGTTGGTCTTTTCCACGAAAATCTCGCAGAGTTCGGTCAAGTGCGTCGAGGGATTTCTTATGTGCCATGGTGCATTCGTCCCAAATTATAATTTTGCACGTTTTAAGGACTATGGCCATACCAGAGTTTTTGCTGATGTTGCATGTAGGTGTTTCGGTCTGGTGCAAATTCAATGGAAGCTTAAGTGCTGAATGCGCTGTACGTCCTCCATCAAGTAGTGTTGATGCAATCCCCGATGATGCCACTGCTACTACAAACCCATTTCGCATTCGAACTGACGCCAATATTAAATTGATGAGGAAAGTTTTCCCGGTACCTCCTGGAGCATCTAGGAAGATAATTCCGCCATCTCCTTTTGTTACACGTTGCATGATTTTGTCATAAGCTTTTTTTCTGATCAGCAACTAAAAACTCTTTTTGCGTTTGCACAAATCGTTCAAGCTGATTTGCACCAAACTGCTGTTCTCGCATCAAGTCTCTATCTTGTGCAACATTTCTATCTCGTGTCGGTGCTGGCATACCGAGTTGACAAAGAGCTTTGTTGTTGATTGACATGAATAAGTCCTCCATTAATATTAAAGCTTCATTGAAAATGTCATCCGAATATTCCTGACTTGGATCGCTTGCACGTGCTTGTCTTAGAATATCTTCACTGAGGCTTTAACGAAGCATTTCCCACAGTTGTCGAGGATTTGATGGTGCGCATGTTGTTAAATTATCGCAAACAAAGTTCGTATTTGCTTTGGATGGCACGTGAGT